ACGGATTCTGCACTGTTTCAGCCTCTTTCGAAGATTCCTCTTCCTCCCGTGACCTCTCCACCTTTAATTCCCATTCGCGACGTCGAAGCTCTTCCCCTTTCTTCTCCTCACAGTACTTAATATCCTGCTCTCGTTTACAAGCTTCCTCTCGCACCCGGTGGGCCTCCTCTTTGGCAGCCACCTCCTTCCTTCTCACTTCCTCTTTCGTCGTTGGCTCTTCCGCTTGTCTGTGCACCTCCTCTTCTTTCTTCTTCGCCTCTTCCTCTTTTTCTATAACCTCTTCTCCCTTTTCTTTCGTCTCCTCTGCCTGTATGCACGCTTCCTCTGCTAACCTTATCGCCTCCTCCTTCGTTTTCCTGGCATCCACTGCCTGTCTGCGCAAGTCCTCGAATTGGTATCTCTTCCTCGCCTCCATCATTCGCCTTCGCCAGTCTTCTGCTTCCCATCCGTTCCTCTCTCCCTCGTCTAATAGTGTATCGTTGGTTATGTTCGCGACGCTGCCCGGGTACATCCTGATATCTCTGGATTGGTTCCCATCCTGTCTTCGTGTTATCAACACATTCCCCCGCTCCTCCGTCCCAACCCATCCCCAGTTCACACCAGCCCTCAGCGTCCCTACGCCCCCAGTCGTGGTTGCCCCAATCATCACCGCCATACCTCCTCCTCCTGTCCTGCCACTCCTTCTCCGCCCGCTGCCTCTCCGTATACTGCCTCTCCAAAAGCTGTCTCGGCGTCCTCTTTGTGCGCTCCTGTTCCTCGAGCCTTCCCTTCGTTGGTTTTGATCTGGAGCCCACTTGATCATCATATTCTCGCTCATAGTTCAGAGTGCTAGTGAGTACTCGTGCTTGAAGAGGCGGCTGATAAGGTTCACCGCGATCTTCAAACAATGTTCTCGCCCTGATTGACCAGTAGGTGTGATATTTATCGGCATGCTCTTCACAGGATGCCTCACGACGCAGTGGATCTCGTACACTAGATGATGGCTGATCTGGAATCTCTTCTGAGCGACGGTAGCCTCTGTAGCTGTGTACACTTTCATAACAATCTCTGGGTGGAAGTGGTCTGGAGCCTTCTGCTTGATGGGAGGGAAAATAAGACTCGTCACTTGTAGGCCCATCGCTTGCAGGATTCTTCCGGTGTTCCATACATCTCTCCCTTTCCTGCAACTTTCTCACAGGGTTCTGATCTTCAAGTTCTGGATATCCCGTGCTATGGTACACATACTCCGCCTCACTGTCGCCACGTTCCGGAATTGGTTCATTGACGATGATAGGGCGCACTCCCGCGGAGTCGGTCGATTCGACATTCATAACCCAATCCCCAATCTGTCGCCTCAGCCCAGTTGGCAAAAGCTTAGTGGCAGCATCGTGTTTGAAAGAAGATGGTTTCCTACTCATTGTAAGTGAACGAAAAGTAAGCCGATCTGCGGAAGATGAGAGATATTATCGGTGGATTGACCGATCGGAGAATTCAGTGGCCGTTTATAAAACGAGCAGCAGGTCGATCCGTGGAAGACTTACAATGATAATCTAAGTTCTCATGCGGGTTCGTCGTGATCCCAGGACCGGGTCACCGCCTCGTTCGGCGTTCGCCGCCATCGCCCTTCTTCCAAAAGCCCACGTATCAGTTTCTGCCTCAAATTCCCTCTGGTCACCATGACCTCGACCGACTTTAGCTGGGCATGGTCACAGCCGTCTCGTGGGCACCATACCTTCCAAAATTTGGCCTGCCACTCCTTTATTTTCTATCTTCCTCTCGCAAATCTCACTCAGATCACATACATTATCTAGCTCGAAAGGTTACACCTACTTCTACGCAGCCCGTTCCACCAGGTGCAGCTTTGCTTTGTTGTCCCTCAGTCCACTGCCCCACTGATCACAATGGCAAATCCCTATCTCATGCCTCACCCGCACATCTCATGCATGAGACAAACGAGGAGTTCTACATTGGCCAGCCTCGTCGCCCGCTGGATCCCACCTTTATGGCCTCTCATCCCCCTTCGACCTTTCTTGCGAGCTGATAGTCTACGCTTGGTTTGTCAGTTGCTCCACCTTCACTCGAAAAAGTTCATCAAGACCAGGCCTGCACTTGCTTAGCAGGGGGAGAGGGCTTAAGGAACAGCAGGGCATGGTGACACTCAACTCGCTTGCCTGGATTCCACATGACATCAGTAGGAATTCGGTATGCATGTATATACGTATATTCATCGTTCTTGTTTTCAACAACCGATGGCTACGTGTCCACATGCCCTGCCTGTCCTCGTCACTCCGGCCACATTTCAAAACATTCGGGGTGCCGTTCAATGTACTTGAAGGAGGACAACGAACAAGACAAGACGAAGCGTGGGATTTGAAACGCTGTCTGAAAACCGTTCCTCACCCGAAACATCACATCCTGTTGACGGCCCTCGATACATGAAACACAATCTGGAGCTGGTATCATTTGTCTGTCGTCGCGGTGACAGCGTTGTCCACGGACCACGACGCTACGACACTGGACACAACGGTAAGAACGGATGTGTTTCGGCCGGACTTGCATGAAAATCTATTCGAATTGAACCTTGGATGCAGTGACAATGTCCTGCGTGAATCAATGAAAACACAATCAGTCATATTTTGATATCTGTGATATCTCAACATGTGGTCGCTAGAGTGATTCGCTATCGAAAACTCTGCCATTCCATGATAAAGTCGGAACCTCTCCTCATATGCCTCGCATGATTTCCTTCGTAAAACAACCAGACGCTTTATGATGATGATGTATGGGATGTGATAGCTTGCGAATGGAAGGTATTCAATCTATTTGTCCTTAGAACAGAACAGAAGTGAAAGTTGTTCAGGTATGATTGATTACTTGTGAATAGTCGATATCATATCTCACCTAATCCAATCGAGGCGAATCTGAAGGGTCACTCAGAATTCTCAACAGGATGGGATCCAGATCCTCAATCAATGGTCGTTTATCTGAACTCAGTGCTTCTTGATCATTTCTAAATTGCCGAGCAATCCCTGTCTCCCATTGCGGACGTGGACGCGGATCCTCATTTGGGAATTTGCCATTGAGTCGAGATGTTACCATTGTGATATTTGGGCGTTCAGCTGGTTCCTTCCTCCAGCAATCCACCAACAAGTCCCAGATTCCCTCAGTCAGTCCTCGTTCACTCCATACAGAATTTTGATCGTCAGGGCGCGTAGGATATCACCTTGCGAGATCTTCATTCTCACCCTGTCAAGATTAGTGACCTCGTAAAACGGGATATGACTGGTGAAGATCTTTAGCAGTTATTATCAGATGTACAATGTATACGAAATGGAGATGCCATTTACTTCATAGCATGTTGATGCCCAAGCATAAATGTCACTCTCCTTGGTATTATGGATAACGTCGACTTCGGAATTGTGTAGTTCTGGGGCCTGCCATCGTATAGTTCCACCTTTGGATCCAGCTGATGATTGTGTAGTCCATTGACCTATATTTTTATCCGTTATTCCAGAGAGGCCAAAATCACAAAGACAGGCTCTTCCAGACGCGTCCACAAGGACATTTCGCTGTTTGATACCGATAGGTAGGCGAAAACAATACCAGTCTCAAAGACTCACAGACTTCGAATCCCCATGGACAATCCCATAATCGTGTAAATAGTTCAGGCCTTTCAATGTATCCATACACTGAGAAGGACTCAGTATTCATTGACTGAAATAGTAAAGTTACTTGCAAGAAGTATTGTGCTTGCCTCAGGTGTTCTAGCAAGATACTCTTTCAAGTTTCCATTTTCAGCCCAGGGTGCCACGAAGGCGATGCGGGAGCAGTCAACATAAAGTCCATGACATGGAAGTACATTGGGATGGGACATGTTTTTCCGAAAACTCTGGCTCTCCTCCTTCCTTCCACAAATCCCATTCAGTATCTTACTGAAGATTTTACACCTACTCTTACGCTGCTCTCCCAGTCGCACTCTGTTGCCTCTCAGTCCACTTCCCCACTGAAACTTACACTTCATCCCCCTGTCTCACGCATGAGACAAACGAAGAGCTCTACGTCGGCCCAGCCCCCTCGTCCGCCGGAGCCCCACCTTTATGGCCTCTTATGCCGCTTCAACGTCTCTTGCGAGCCTATAGTCTACGCTCGGTTTGCGAGTTTGTCCACCTTCACTCGAAAAAGTTCATCAAGACCAGGCCTGCACTTGCTCTGCCTGCTTCATCACATTTGTCTCGCTTTTGGGTCGCCAATCCTATTCTTGGTATTGTCCAACGTTCTAGAAGAAGTTCGAGGGGAAAGAACAACGAACTAGACAAGACGATGTGCAGGATTCGGAAATACTGTCAGTCCCAACGCAAATCGGTCTTTGATCGTGCCACCTTTCGTGTATCGTTCTTACCTGTCAGCCTGTCCTTGCGCAGACTGTGATCCATGATTTGGGAGCTTAGAGTGAGCATATATGACGTAGAGGAAGGAGGAGTATGCTTTGACATCATCACTGTACAATCTTTAACATGGTAAGTGCTAGTACCGGTCGGTTTGATGTGGCCGATGATGCGGCTTGTTTGCAGTATTGCTGATCAGCACTTGTTAGTTGTCCGCGGTGACGAAGATTGATAACAAAGATGAAACGACATCTAAGTCATCAATAAGCTTCTTAATACCAATATCCATGACTTGCTTCACCTTTCCGGATTAGCACGCTGGATGAATGGCTCAGCCCTGCTCACGATCTGCTCCTTTCAACTTTGTTTTTGTTTCTACTTGTCACTGACACACTCTCCTTCGGAATTCTTGGGGCATCCTTCGTATATGCACCCCACTCGTATCTCTCATGTTCAAACATGTCAAAATGGACATGGATGACTGCCTTAGTCGTCCAAGTCTGTTGATTTGAACCGAAGAAGTGCTCCACTTCAAAAACTATTGGTGAATGGTGTGATGGCAGTAATATGAGGACATAAGAGGTGTCGACTTGGCTAATCAGACAGTAAGACTGTCAAAAAGACACTCGAAGCGATTGAGTCGACCCAGGCTCGAACTGAGGACCTTCTGTGGAAATTCAAATGTAAGACAGATGCGATAACCAACTACGCCATCGACCCATGGATTTGAACGTCAAAAAACATATCCTTAGCAGTTAGTCATCACAGTTGCTTGATTCATTCCCATGACCAACGATTCGTCTTCGACGGCTGCGGAAAAGTTTTTGGAAATACACTGTTGACATACATGTATAGACTTCTCATGAAAATCAAAGCACATAGCTGCGGCTTCGCTTCGTATCATCATAAGATTAATTCGGTGGTTCGGTCCGAGTTACCAGCGAAATACAAAGCTCGTGCCAAAGGCATGGTGCGCAGCGAATACAGAGTTGAAACTTGCACCAAGATTGAAGCACAAAAAAATGAAGGAACCGTTTCAAAAAAAAAATCAACAAGTCATTGAAGCGGTTACTGGGCATTATCGGCTAGCCGCGAGGGCTCACCACGAACGCGGATTGTCACA